TGCATACGTCTACATCTCTCTCGATTCTCAACATCCTGTCATGACCAGACCACCACTGACTTCCTTGCCCCCTCCCCCCAGAAAACCGACACGGGCCTCTTCGCCACGGGCATCTACGGCGTGACGAAGATGATCACCTGCGCCGCCTTCCTCCTCTTCGCCGCCGACTCCCTCGGCCGACGGCGCTCCCTCCTCTGGACGTCCATCGCGCAGGGCGCCGCCATGTTCGTCATCGGCTTCTACGTGCGCTTCCAGCCGCCGGTGGCGGGCCAGCCGATCCCGCCCTTCGGCTACATCGCGCTGGTCAGCATCTTCCTCTTCGCGGCCTTCTTCCAGTTCGGCTGGGGCCCCTGCTGCTGGATCATCGTGTCCGAGATCCCGACGGCGCGCCTGCGCGCCCTCAACGTCGCCATGGCCGCCAGCACCCAGTGGCTCTTCAACTTCGTCGTGGCCCAGGCCGTGCCGCGCATGATGAAGCACGTCGGCCGCGGCGGCTACGGCACCTACTTCATCTTCGGCTGCTTCTGCTTCTCCATGTTCTTCTTTGTCTGGTTCCTGATCCCCGAGACCAAGGGCTTGAGCTTGGAGCGCATGGATGATATGTGAGTATCCTGTAACCCCCATCTTATCTTTTCTTCTTCTTCTTCTTCTTCTTCTTCTTCTTCTTCTTCTTCTTCTTCTTCTTCTTCTTCTTCCCACCTCCCTACTAACCCAACCCAATCCCAGCTTCGGCACCACCGAGCTATCCAAGGGCCTCGATCAAGAGCGCGCTCTTCCATCTCCCGCCGAGGACAAGAAGACGCCACGCACCCAGATCATTGAGGACACGGCACATCCAGATCCGGATCCAGATCCGGATTCGGATTCGGATCCGAGACGGAATGCTATTCAGCAGCAGCAGCAGCAGCCGCAGCAGCCGAAGGCTACAGAGGTGCACATGTGAATGGGAGAGAGTGGGAAAAGTACAGCTACAGCAGCGAGTGATTATAGTCAACGAGAAGCCACGGGGAAATCCGAGGAGGGTTCGTCGATCAAATGACGCTTCATTACAATCTCTGCTCTTCTTCCTTTTTTTTTTTTTTTTTTTTTTTTTTTTTCTTCAGCTATAAAACGTAATCGTCGGTTACCTTGAATTTAATTTGTAAAAAATCCCGACCTGGCGCAGCCAGGTCGGCACCACCAAGGCGGGACAGTAACAGTATACCACTTATTAAACAACAACTATTATTATAAAAAATAAAAATAAAATCTTTATATGCTTAGAAACTTTTTCTTTACAAACTTGAATTAAAATTATATAAAAATCCATTTATATGTGGTAATCTAATACATTGAAATGTAATGAAAAAACGGTCAAAAACTGTCCTAAATAATTCAAATTTACTTGTTTATTGCAAATATCTTAATAACAACAACCTTAATTCAAAAAAATCTCGCATAGATCGAAAATAAATGATTTAATATATCATATTACTAAAAGTATTAACTATTAAATAAAAGTTGGTAGTGATGCACGTATTCTTTTGATAAGTTTAAACAAAAGTCCGATTTTCGTGTTCCTCGCTTATTCTAATATATACGCGGCAATTCTGATATATACTCAATAGTAAAATCGAAAAAAAAAAGATCAAAAGTATTATTTTTATTACTTTAACTCAACACAATAAAGGAATAACAACTTGGAATTAAAATTCGATTAATTGATTAGTATTAAAATCAATACGATGCATCTTTTGATACAAAAACAATTATTATACAATAGTTGATTGATTTTCTATTTATTAAAAAAGAGCAAATTTTACTGTCCCGCCTTGCTGGGTGTCCCGCCTTGGTGGTGCCGACTTGCTATAGCAAGTCGGTCAATTCTTTCGAATTAAAATTTAAGGAAACCGACGATTACAGCCTCTTTCTCATCTCAACGGTACAAAACAATGTTAGTGTGAGTGTGAGTGTGAGTGTGAGTGTGAGTGTGAAATGGAGCGGGCGTGTTTTTCCCCTGCTTGCTTGCTTACTTACTTACCATCACCACCACCACCACCACCACCACCACCAGCTAGTAAGTAAGCGAGTAAGTAAGCGAGTAAAGAAATGAATACCGTAGCATTATAGTATAGTAGTAAATGTATGTAAGTATGCATGTATGTATGAATGTATGTATGTAAGTAAGCGAGTAAAGAAATGAATGCCGTAGCATTATAGTATAGTAATAAATGTATGTATGTATGTATGCATGCATGTATGTATGTAAGTAAGTAAGTACTTCGCAAGTTCTCCCTCACCCTAAGCAGTCGCTTGAACCACGTCTTTCTTTCTTTCTTTCTTTCTTTCTTTCTTTCTTTCTTTCTTCCTTCCTTTCCCTCTTGAAAATAAAAGAGAGAATCAAGTATGAGATGAGATGAGATGAGATGAGATGAGATGCCGCTGCCGTGCAAGAACGTGTACGTACGAGAAAGGTATCCGAAAAAAAAAAAAAATGTGTCTGGATGGTAAAAAAAAAAAGACCCATCAAGCGCAGCACAAGCACAGCGCCAGCATCAGATAAAGCGGATCTCACGCGAACGCATCGCTCAAAGCGCGTGGTCGACATTCCCCCCGTCCTTCCTCCCATGAGCAAGCTTCGCTCGCGCGCGCGCGAGTCGCCGCAGGAGATCCGTCTCGCTGAACCCGAAAGTTAGATTAGCGCTCGCTTGCTGACTCCTCCTCCTCTTCCGCCTCTCCGCGCAGCCAGGCTCTGCCGAACTTCTCGTCGCTCACGCATCAGTTCAGCTAGTCGCTCGGCATGCAAGATCTCCTGCCGGATCTGTTCTTCGTGGGCCTCTAATTCGGCAACAGCATCGTCGTCGTCGTCGTCGTCGTTGTGGTCGTCGGTGATCGTGACGACGTTCGCGTCTGGCTCGACCTTGACTTTGGCTCTCTTTGCTGGCGTAGGAGAGTCTGGCTTAGTTGAGGGACGTTTGGCTTGAGGTGAGGGCTGGAGGGCAGTAGTACTGTCGATTTCCTCGCTCTTGATGGTGAGCTTTGGGGCTGGGACTGGAGCGGCTGCAGGCCGAAGGTTGTGGCGAGGAGGAGTGTCGTCGATAATGATGATGGCTTCGGCCTGGGGTTTTCGGGCTTTTGGTTTTGACGGTGTTTGCGCTTCTTCAGGCTCGTTCTTGATGACGGTCGTTGTTGCTGGTGCGAGCTGGTTATCGTGGCGAGGAGGAGTGTCATCAGTGATGATAACCTCTGGCGGTGGGGTTTGGGCTTTTCGTGTTGACGATGCTTCTTCAGGCTCGTTCTTGATGGCGGTTGTGACGATAGGCTCTGCAATGGGCGATTGGGTAGCGGCGGGCTCAGCAACGATGGTTTCTTCAATAATAGGCTCGGCCTTGATAGGTGCGGCCTGGGCTTTAGCAGCTTCTGGCGCAACGTTCACGGCTCCTGGCTCAGGCGGATATTCTCCTTTATCGAAAAACTTGCGGCGATCCTGCCCAGTATCATTTAGTTGAGATTCGAGAATGAGAATGTTACACGAACCTGGAGCATTTGGAACACAAGTTCCCTCTCTCGCTTCCCGTATGCGCTCCATACACGCCAATGGATTGGCAAGATTCCTTCTTTGAAGAGATTCTTGTAAATCGATTGAGAATCCGCTTCCGAGCCCGCATCGATCACCTTCATTTTCCAGAACCTATCTTTGTCGTGATTCTTGCGAAATATTAGTATTTGCTTAAGATAAGGGAAAGTCATGATGAAGTGGCGGGAATTACCTGGAGTTTTCTGAAACACGCTGCGCGATCAGATATTTTCAACAAATCCCATGGCTGGAGTTCTAGAGGAACATGGTCCTTAAATAGCCCTGCTTTGTTTTCAATGAAGTCTGGGAATATAAGCATAATTTCTGTACTGGCACGTGGGACTTCATACCTCGACTGCGGCACAAGAAGTTGAATTTATGTTTGGTCGAAACCTGACCATACTGCATCATCGTTCTTTCAGGGAAATTTGGAGCGCCTGTAGGCACGCCTCCTGTTACTCTAATACCATTAGCAAGTAAACCACATTCAAGCAAGCCCAAGCATTATCGCTTACCCGATTTTATGTGTAATACCATCTTTCTCGAAACTCTTCGCATCTACCTTACTAGCTTGCGATGTGAAGCGCGCATTGTGTTTTGCGACTTTCGCTTGATACGTTTGCTCGCTATAGGTTGACATATTGGCTTTGGTGGCCAAGTATACCTGAACTTGAATGCCGCCAAGTTTACTGACATCGATCCCTTGGACATCGGTCTCTTTGGCAAGGTTTTCGTCTGCATGGCATTAGCAAAGAATAAATTTCAGTCCTCCATAACCTACCAGGTACAAGCCCTTCGAGGCTGAGGGATGCATCTTTTAACACAGTCCCACTCAGTACAACCTTTCCAAAAGTAGTGATGAGATGAACTTGATCCTTGTTCAAGAATTTTGATAGGGATGGAGCTTTCTTTCTGATATGCTCCACTGCAACAAGAGCATTCCGGGCTCTATCAAAAATGTTTAATCCCAACCAGCGGTATTTATTGATCTTTAGCCCTTTCTTCAATGTAATCTCGATGCCATACGGACCATTTTCTGGTGCGATGAACCTTGTACATTCGTAGCATGGATTGGGCGGATATGGATCACCCAGCTTCTCATACTCGTCAAAGTAGACACGGGCGGCGGCATCGAAGGGTAATTTCACAAGCCGGACCTCAATCATACCGTCCGGGCCACCGAGGATCGCCATATTGGGTATCTGCCACAGCAGCAGAGTCAAATTTCCGAGTATCTTAGAAGCATTCTCTGTCAGTATATAGCTACAAACATCCCAAAAACGAATACGAAATCTAGAATTCAGGGAGCAGGGCACATACTAAGGTGAAAAGGAAGAGCCTGCGGCTCAAGTCCCTGGTTCCGAGTGTGGCAATCGAGGTGCAAAGCTGAACTGTTGGTTACCACGCCGCGATCTATCAATCGTGTGTTTGCGTGAAGGATGAGGATGGTTCGAAAAGATAACTGAAGGTTCGACCAAGCAAACAAAGCCGGGGCTTTGATTGCGAAACCAGAAGTTGGAAGATAGATGAGAGATGAGAGAAACAAGTGGAAAATGGATCAAGCAAAACCGAAGCTCTAGCCGCGAAACTCAAGTTCGAAAGCGATAGAAGGAACAACCCAATGGTAGATTTTCCGAGGCTCCAAACGCGAAATCGAAAGCTGGAAATATTCCCGAAGACCGAATGCTGAGCTGGTGTACCTCAGCTGAGATCAGTCGCCTTGGTGTAGCACACCCGAGACGTAATAAATAGACAGAAAGATCGAGGTAGATAGATTAATTGGTGCTGGTGTTGTTGTTGTTGTCGATGAAGGAAGGAGGAAAAAGGAGGGCGGAGGAAGGGAGACGTATTTAAATACCCTGCGAGCATTAGATATGGAAGATATAGAATGGAATAAGTATGAGGTGAATACCTAAAAGAGAAGAGAGATGTAAGTGTAAGGGAGACGTTGAAGGGGATTTGCGCGTAGCGTGATGGATGGATCGTAACTTCCTTCCCTATTAGGCGATATCGAAAGCTCAAGACATCACCGCAATGCCAAATTGTACCTCACCTCCCTCCTAAAAAAAGATTCAACAAGTCAACTTTCAAGTCTCAGTCAACTGAAAGATAGAACTCGCCTGTAGTCGGAATACCGTTAGCTCGGTCCTCGTAATAGTCTTTTACCAGTGTTTGTTGCGGTGCGAGCAAGTATGGTCCATCTCCAGGTTCACGATATACTGTTTGATAGTTCCAAGCCTCATACCTCGCAGAAATGGAGTTCTGCATCGAGGAACTGTCTGATACCAGCTTCTGGCGTTGCCTTGGAATGGGAATAAGGTATGAAGGACGAACGGAGCTTACCCCGGGGATAACACCCAAGCGGCGATACCCTCGAGCGATACTGTAAAATTCGGCTGCTCACCCGGTCATAGGTGTTGACGAGATGAATATGATTGCGTGCTCAAATGAATTGCATTATTTCAGTAAGAATGTCAAACAACCGGGGTTCTGGTCTGATTCTAAAAGGCCCCGAGTTCCTTGCAGCAAGTAAGCATCGAAGTTGGGCTAGCGGGAACATGCCGATTCCAGATATACCAGCTGCATAATATCAAAATGATCTAGTAAGTCGTAACGAAAGAAATCTGTGCTTATTTCTTTAGGTATATCACGAACGCCTTTGGAACTTTGCACGAAAACAAAATGATAGTAAGCAACTCATCCTCATCTCGGTCCCTTTGCAAAGCTCTCGATATACGCAGTCAGCTTCTCCGCGCCCTCGAGGGATATCGAGTTGTAATTGCTGGCACGGATGCCACCTACGCTTCGGTGGCCCTTCAGACCTGTGAGGCCTTGTTCCGTGGCGCCTTTGAGAAAGGACTTCTCGGAGTCGTCAATGCCGCTTGCGAGCTACTTCATATTAGTCCAATGTCCCGGTCCTTTGAGACGCATACGATTTTCAAACTCACGTGTGTCACTCTGAAGCAGATGTTCATTCTTGAGCGCGCAGTTTTGTCTGGCACAATCTTGTATGATTCAGGGAATCTCTCTAATGCGCCGTAGATCAACTTGGCTTTCTCATTTGCGATCTTCTCTTGGTCGTCAACTTTCCCCGGGAATTTCGCAAGAGAGTTCCTGAGGACCTGGCCAGCAATGTAGACACTGGGAAATGTAAGTCGCGGTAGCTCAAGAATGAGACACAACTTACTCGAATATGCTCAATGTGTTATACAAGCTGTTGTTCTTCGCGATAGTCTCGTAAGACAACACAATCGGTCCAATGGGAAGGCCAAGCTTCCGCAGCAGGGTCGGGGGTGGTGTAGCCACAGCCGGCGGAAGGAGATTCTTCTTGATAACGACAACGGTAATCCCAGTGCTTCCAAGGTTCTTTTGAGCACCAAAGAAGATGACCGAGAAATTTTTGATCGGTATCCGCCGTGACAAAATATTCGAGGACATATCCGCCACCACAAGCGGTCCTTCTCCATTTGCATCTGGCTTCAGAACCTCAGGGAAGCTTGGAAATTCCACGCCATCGACAGTCTCATTGTCGCAGTAGTAAACCATGGCAGGGTTCTTGGACAGTTTCCAGGTCGACTCCTCGGGTATCTTCCCAAACTTCCCACCGTTGACTTGCCTCGCATCTGCCACCACATTGACATACTCAGCGCCCATCAATCTCGCAGCTTCTTGACTAGCCTTCAGTGACCAGGATCCAGTCACAAGATAGTCAATTCTGAGCTCCTCCTGCACAGCTTTCTCCAGCTCCTTCAGTATGACATCCTCAGGTATGTTCTGCCCTTCCTTGATTCCCAAATCCTTTAAAATATTCTTCTTCCGCCTCTCAACCCAGACACCAACAAGGTTGTAGACAGTAGCTGAGAACTCTCCACTGCCACCTCCTTGCATGAACAGGATCTCATAATCATCGGGGATATCGAGGAAAGTTGCGAGGTCGGCTTTGGCGTCGTTGAGGATCTTGGTGGCGATTTCCGAGCGGTGGGAGTGCTCTGCAAGGCCTAAGCCTGTGCTATTGAAGTTGACTAGAGCTTCTGCAGCATTCTCTAGGACACTGGTTGGTAGAAGAGCTGGTCCCTAGGGAGAGAGAGATCAGTATTGGACTGAGAATGGAACATTCGTAATAGCAAAATAGAGGGTTCGTACGGCTCCAAAGTATGTGATATCTGCCCGGTTAGACATGTTGAAAATGCCGTTCCTCTGGTGCTGGCGAGAGAGCTCTGTGCAAGTCTATCTGGAATATCAATTGTCAGTAACCTGGCTGTGTCACATAATATAACTAGAGCTTCTTTGCCGCAAATCGAGAGCATAATACTCGAGAGAGGATCATAATGCCTTGTATCTGAAGCTCTCCCATTACGGACCTGGATTGGCGGGGTACTTGACAGGTCGAAAGGTGGGAAAGAGCAGAGAAGCAATAACATATTTATTGACTTACAGAGATCTTAATAAATACGCAGATTCTTCTTCTACTGTTAGATTGAAGTCTGAAAATTTCAATCGAAAGGCGAAAGAGAAGCGAACAATACAGAATGAGTCAGTCAGAAAAATCTGAATATGTGAAGAAAGGAACGAAGCCCCCCCAACCCCGCCATTCGTCCATGGGCTATAGCGCCCTACTTTGTGAAGCCCCACCACAACGGGCGGGCTCTCGGTTAATTGATACTGACTAAGCAGAAGTACCCCGGATTTTGCAGTGGGCTGTTTAGCGTCAATAACCCCTGTCAACCAGCTTCGTTGGGCCCCTCCTCCTCCTCCTCCTCTTCCTCTTCGAACCTCGCAATATCCTCTCCCTCTTACAACGTTGTATCTCGAGTCTGGATTTCAGTTCCGATAAACATGCTGGGGGCACTCGATTGAAGCTGGAATCGAGCGCGCCACCATGTCCGAGCGCAAGATGTCTGAGGCTGGACCCTCGAAGATCCAAATCCCAGCTGCATCATTCCGTACCCATCTCTCTCCAAACTTAGCAATTCACCTGCTCATAATTTTTAGCCACGCATAATTCCCCTCGAGTATGGTTCCTGACATCTGCGCTGTCGCCCTTGGTCGTGCGGCTCGTGAGATTGCTGCTGGCGCATGGCGACTACGTAGCAGCTGCTCTACCACCTTCCGAAATCCAGGACGCGGAAAGGAGTGCTGAGTTCAGGGAACTCGTCAATGAGTGCAAGAGCGGGAGGAAGGATAGAGAGGGCTGGAAGGACCGGATAAGAGGGATTAGGTGTGATGGGAGGGTTGTGGGGCAGTGTGGTGCGGCGGTCGCGGAGGCTGTGGAGGTGTTTGGACGGATTGATATTTTGCTGTGCTGTACCTCTGAGGGTATACAACGACTCCATACAGCAAAGGAAAAGTACTGAATTGGTGCAATAGCAATTATCGGCACAGTCGAAGAGCTCTCCACCACCACCGCTACTCAAAGTCTCGTCCGCGACCAATTCGAAACCATCTTCTTCTCACAAGTGAATTACATAAAAGCCACGCTCCCTCTCCTTCGCGAGTGCAACAATGGCCACATCATCATTCTTACCAGCATCACCGGCCACATTGGGACCCCCGGCATGCCGTTCTACAGTTCCGCCATCTGGGCCCTCGAAGGCTACTGCGATTCGCTGGCGTACGAAATCGCGCCGTTCAATGTCAAACTGACAATCGTGCAGCCGAACAAGGAGATAGCTGTGTTGACGAATCGGATTGTGTTTGCGCCGCAGCTGCAGCAGTACGAGAGTCTGAATACCAACAACCCGGCGCCGGGCATCAGGGATATCCTCACGAATGTGGTCAACGCTCATCCGGAAACGAGGATTCCGGTGCAGCAGGGTGTTAATCACGAAGAGTCTATTGAGTCAAGGTATCCGAGGCTTTCTAGCGAAGCGAAGGATAGGTTGGTGATGGAGTCAGTACATGCGCTGACCGCCATTGGGGGCCATGAGAACCCGCCTGCGAGACATATCGTGGGTTATGAAGGTGTAGCGTCGGTGAAGGAGAAGCTGAAGACCGTCAGTGAGGAGCTCGAGGACTTCGTGGAGGTCAGCTGTGCGGTGGATATCTTTAAGAGCGATGTTGGACGGGCGGCATTGTCGGGCGCCAAGTTGGACACGAATATGGGCGGTACTGGGGTGCAGCTGGGACGGCCGAGCTCGAGCTGAGGGCAACCCATCTTTTTATATATGATGTAAACGTTTGTGTGTATATGTATGTAT